GAGGCCAGCCTGGTCTACAGATCGAGTTCCAGGATAGGATAGCCAGGGCTGTTACACAGAGAAACCTTGTCTGGAAAGAGAGAGAGAGACAGAGAGAGAATAAGCAGACTTCTAAGAGATAATAATGAAATAAAATAATAATGAGATCAAACAAAAACTAACACATCGGAGTTGGACAAGACAAATACATAGAAGAAAAAGACTCCAAGGCTCTGTGAGTTCGAGACCAGCCTGGTCTACAAGAGCTAGTTCCAGGACAGCCTCCAATGCTACACAGAGAAACCCTGTCTCAAAAAAAAAAAAAAAAAAAAAAAAAAATAAAGAAAGCTACTAATAAAACAAAACGACAGCAACAACAACAAAAAAAACGAATCAGAGATCCACTCATTTGCACTCAGGAGTCCCGGGAAAACACTAAGTGGGAAGCCATATAGTCTATACACACAAGCTTGTAAGCTCTCTGTTGTTTCTGCTGTTGGCATCCAGCTTTATCCGTGGTGGTCTGACAGAACACAGGGTGTCTTGTTGGCTGACTTGTATCTGTGGACACTTGACTTGTGTCCAAATATGTGGTCGGTTTTGGAGAAAGTTCTATGAAGCGCTGAGAAGGTATATTGTGCTTCGGAGAAATGTTCTGTAAATATTTGTTAGCTCCGGCTGTCGGGAAGACGTCCACCCGCACCCTAACACCCCCTCACTCCCCCACCCCCGCCCGATGCATTTCCCCTTAGATGTTTCTAGCCAGCTGGGGTCCTCAAGGGCCTGGCTGGCCAGAAGACATCCATGGGCTAGCCTTGTGGCGCTGGGCAGGTGGGCCCCGTTATTTGATAAGCAAATCTGTGGTGGAAAAATGAGAAAGAGAAGCAGAGTGGTTCGTGTGCTCTAGAAAGACGAAGAAAGGAAATGAAGACCTTGAGGAGGTGTTTGAGGCCTGCTTGTCACCCGGGGCCACGGTGAAGGCAGTGAGGAGTAGACAGAGGGGGAGGCCTGTTGGCCACCTGGAGCCATGTTGATGTCCGGGCCTGGCTGCTGCCAAGGGCCATGTCAGTCTGTGTTGATGTCCATGGCTCCATGTTGTCCATGGCTCTGTCTGTCCATTGAGTGCCATGTTGATTCCAGTGGTCTGGGCCACCACCTGAGGCCATGTTTGAGTCCAGGGAGGCCACACTACAATTGGAGCCATGCCCATGTGGGCCACTTGGGACCATGGTGACAACCAGACCCAGGCCGCTGTCGAGGACCACGTCTGGGTTCGTGGTCGACCCTCAGCTGAGGTGGCCCATGGTGCCACCAAAGGTCACATGGGATCCGGGCTACATTCTGTGGTCTTGTTGGTGTCCAGGGGCCATGCTGCTGCCAGAGCTATCCTGATCTGAGCGACTGTGGCTACTACCTGGAGCTAGGATGTCGCCCAGGCAGAGGTGCTGCTTGGAGCCATGGCTGGGTCTGTGGCCCAGCTGCAGCTGGGGTCTGTGGCCCAGGGTGCCACTAGGGCCAATACAGAGGCCTGGGACTTGGACCAGAGCCTGCAGCTTGGTTGGAGTCTGGGGAACCATGCCACAGCAGGGGGGCCATACAGAGATGGTGGCCTGTGCTGCCACCTAGGGCGATGGTGTGATCCCGGCCCAGGCTGCTGCCGAGGGACATGTCTGGGTCCCTGGCCCTGTAGCAGCCAGGGTCTATGCTAATGTCAGAGGCTCCTGTTACCATTGAAGGCCATGCAGACACCATGTTGGTGTCTGAGGGCCAGATTGCCATTGGGGCCTGTGCCTAGGACAATGGTGACATCCAGACCCAGATGCTGCCAAAGACCATGTGTGGGTCCATGGTCGAGGCTAGGGTCTGTGCTGAAATCCTAGTCCCGTATTGCTACCAAAGTTCACATAGAAGCCCAGGGTTGGGGCCGTGACCTGAGGCCTTGGTGGTGTCTGTCGGCCATGTGGCCACCAGAACCATCCTGACCTGAGTGGCTACTTCCACCCAGAGCCTGGATGTTCTCTAGCCCAAGCTGCTACCCATAACCGTGTCTGGGTCCATGGTCCAGCTGCAGCTGGAGTCTGTGTTGATGTCTGTGGCTCGTGTCACTCAGGAGGCTTTAGGAACAATAAGAGAGGAAATTAGAGGGCCATGGTGAGCTGGCCCTGGGACAGCTGGCTTCCTGTCTCTCTGAACACTACAGCAAGAGAGCTGGCCCTTGCACTCTGGACAGATTGCCTCCACCCCTCACCACAGGTGAAGGTGAACTCATCTGAGGACATGGATGTCAGGGAGCTAGCTCTGCCCTCTCCCCTGAGGCGGGTGCTCCCAGTGGCCTGGATTGACCAGCTCAGCTACCACCCAGGCCCACAGCCAAGCCTTGGGTTGGCCCACCCTAGCCATCACCCCATCTAGGACCTGCTGGGGCTCATGAGGTACTGGGACTCAGGGCAACAACAAGATATCCCAGAGGAGTTCTGGTGAGGAGCCTGTCATCTAGGAGACACACTTACTGGCTTGTTAAAGTGGATATTACATCTGAGCAGTGGTGGCGCTCACCTTTAATCCCAGCACTCGGGAGGCAGATGCAGGTGGAGCTCTGTGAGTTCAAAGCCAGCTTGGCCTTACAAATAGAGTTCCAGGACAGAAGGGCTACACAGAGTACACAGAGAAACCTTATCTTGAAAAACAAAACGAAAGGATTGCTGGGGCCTGAAAAACATCAATTATGGTATTTTGGATACAGGCCTCAAACTCTGTCCCAGGAGCTCGAATCTCACGAATCTCATGGGTGGCTTGGCCTCAGTGGAGAATGTCTCCTAGTTTGCATAACAACAGACCTAGGCCCTGGGTGGGCTGTCATCTGTTCTGAGGGCCTGTTTACAAGCCTAGGGACTGTTTAGGGGTGTCTCTAGGATTAAAGGATGTGTTTGATATCAGCTTTATACATGAGAATAGATGTTTTCTTTTGTCACCCCCACTGTTGGAAAGCTATTTTAGAAGATGCTTGAAGCCGGGCATTGGTGGCGCATGCCTTTAGTCCCAGCACTCAGGAGGCAGAGGCAGGTGGATCTCTGTGAGTTCGAGGCCAGCCTGGTCTCCAGAGCGAGTGCCAGGATAGGCTCCAAAGCTACACAGAGAAACCCTGTCTCGAAAACAAAACAAAACAAAAAAACAAAACAAAACAAAACAAAAAAAAAAAGAGAGAGAAGATGCTTGAATAAACCGGAGACTCCAGATTCCAGCATGGACTGAGAGCCCTCCTGAAATGACAAGATGTCTTTATCGCCCTTAGGCAGCTAGGAGTTTCCCGGGCCAGCACTCCGAGACTCCGGGATGGACTTGAGGCCATTTGGCTGGCTCCAATCGCAGCCCCAAAGACATCAGTCCTGAATAGATAGCCTCTGTAGCTAGGCCCCAGCAAAGGATAGCACAAAGAATTCAATGAAGAGATGGATAGGGCAAAATATGGCCGTCCGAGTGTCCTACCCTCTGTGGGTACCACTTTCTCCATGATTTCACCATCCTAGACGGAGCAGCTCTCTGGTTTTCTAGAAATACTTATTTCTGGGGCTGGAGAAACGATCCAGTGGTTAAGAGCACTGGCTGCTCTCGCAGAGGACCCAGGTTCGATTCCTGGTACCTGCATGGTGTCTCCCAACCATCTGTGACTCCAGTTCTAATTATAGATATTTGGGGGAGGGGAAACCTCAAATAAAGATAAATCCTTATTTGAGATATTTGAGATAAACGAAATAAAGATAAGTCTTTTCAAAAGAGAGAGATTTATTTCAGGGACCTTGAACTGGCTCAGTGTGTAAGGGAGCTTGCACACCATGACCTGAGGTGAGTCCCCGGGACCCGTACAGTGGAAGGAGAGAACCGGGGCCCGGAGGTTGTCTTCTGACCACACATCCTCTCAGCTACCTGCTCCTACCCCATCTGTCATGCACACAGAGAAATAAAATGCCATAAAATCTTTACAAAGAAATAGTTACTTCTAAAAAGAACATTTTAAGACACATTTGCAGCAAGACAAAGCCGTATGAGAAAAACCAAACAAAAGGCCAAGTGTCTTCGTGTTCTAGCGCTGTGAAAAGAAGCCACGACCGAGGCGACTCACCTAAGAGAACACTTGGGGAGCTTGCTCACAGTTTTGGAGGCTTAGGCCATGATCATCTTGGTGGGTGGCATGAAGACCTAGTACATGGCCAGAGCCTACTCATTTATTTTATTAATTTGGAGGGCGGTCCAATACAGGATTCCTCTGTGTAGCCCTGGCTGTCCTGGAACTCTGTAGACCGGGCTGCTCTCAAACTCAGAGATCCGCCTGCCTCTGCCTCCCGAGTGCTTGGGTTAAAGGCGTGCGCCGCCACTGCCTTATTTTATTACTTTTTTAAATCATTTATTTATTTATCTATTTATTTGTTTAGTTTTTGAGACAGGGTCTCTCTCTCTCTCTCTCTCTCTCTCTCTCTCTCTGTTTTCAGACAAGATTTTACTGTGTAGCCCTGGCTTTCTGTCACTCTGTAAAACCAGGAGAACTGACAGAGATCTGCCTGCCTCTGCCTCCCAAGTGCTGGGACTAAAGGTGTGTGCCATACTTTGTTAATTTATTTATTACTTAAAAACTTTTTAATGGGTCTGGAGAGATGGCTCAGAGGTTAAGAGCACTGGCTGCTCTTCCAGAGGTCCTGAGTTCAATTCCCAGCAACCACATGGTGGCTCACAGCCATCCGTTATGAGATCTGGTGCCCTCTTCTGGTGTGCAGATATACATGGAAGCAGAGTGTTGTATACATAATAAATAAATAAAACCTTTTTTAAAAAAACTTTTTAAATTCATGTTTTGCAAATTGCATACATGCAAACATCATATTTTGGGCATATTCTCCCCAGTTCCTTGCCCTAACAGGCCCCAGGTCTACTCTGTTACCTTTTTAGATATTGAACTAGGCAGGGACTCATGTACACTTGGCACATACTTTGCCATGGAGAGACGTGCTGGGCTGTCCCAAGGTCATTATTTATTTGTTAATTTAGAAAGGATTTCTTGTAGCACAGCGTAGGCCCCAAACTGCCTTAAACTTCCCAACCTCCTACCCGGGATTACAAGTGTGTGTTACTACACTCTTTTTATTTATTTATTTTATTTTTGTTGTTTTTGTTTGTTTGTTTTCCCAAAACAGGGTGTCTCTGTGTAGCCCTGGCTGTCCTGGAACTCACTCTGCAGACCAGGCTGTCCTGGAACTCAGAGATCCTCCTGACTCTGGCCTCCCAAGTGATGGGACTAAAGGCCAACCATTGCCCGGCCACGCCTGGTTTTATGCCACGCTAGGAACTGGCCCCTCTTCTTGCTTGCTAAGGCAAACCCTCTGACGTGTGAGCTGCAAACCCAGCCGAGGCTGATAAAAATTATTTATCCATTCATTATTATTATTTTTTTTTAAGCTGGAAAAGGCATCTCTGGAAATTTCCTCACTCAGGCGGCCAGATTGTAATTTAATCCGGGGATGTCTGGAATGACGTCTAAGGTGACGTCTTAGGGCTGCAGGCAATCACTGGGCAGATCAGCAACCGGAAGGCAGTCCCGTGGTTCCTAGGAAAAGAGACCCCGGGCACTTTGCAGAGAGGGCGAGCGGGCGAGCGAGCTCAGAAGAGGCTGCAGGCGCCGAGGCTGGACCAGAAAGTAAGTTGGGCATAGGAGGGGGCTGGGTGAGCGAGGCTGCGGGTGGGTCCCGGTGCAGCTGCAATGCATTTAGCTGGACCCTGAGTACCCGCAGCTCTGCACCGGGCAGCTGAGGCAGGGGCATGCTGTGCCCAGGCCCCCCGGCCAGGCTTGGTGCAGCAGACGAGAAGCCCAGGGACCTAAGAGCTCCTGCCGCGTCCTTGGATGGACATTAATTCCTTGCTGCCCGGCTCCTGGTAAACCACGATGTTGCAGTTACGGACTCGGAGCGTGGATTCCACTTAGGCTCCCGGGTCTGGATCTCTCCACGCTGCGCTGCTGCGGCACGCGGTGGCATGCTTGGGTTTGCTTATTTCTTCCTTTTGCGACAAGGTCTAGTTCCAAGCTGGCCTGGAACTCCAATCTCCTGCCTCAGCCAGGCCCAATTTTTTTTTTTTCTTAAGGTTTTTCGAGACAGGGTTTCACTGTGTAGCCCTGGCTGTCCTGGAACTCACTTTGTAGACCAGGCTGGCCTCGAACTCAGATCCTCCTCCGGCATTTATCCTTAATACCCACAATTATACCAAGTCGTGAGGGCAAAGAACACAGGAATCCACGGTGGGCCCAGTAGTGGTGGCAGTCCTGTAATCCCAGAACTCTGGAGGCAGAGGCAGAAAGGTCTGAGTTCAGGGCCAGCCTGGGCTACATAGGAGGACCCTGTCTCTATCAGGGACAAAAAGAGATTATAA